CCCCTCCCCCTATAACATGTCCAGCAAATGGTCCCAGTGACTACTCCCAATGACAAGAGTACTCAACCATTCAGGCAGGTTGGTCCATTTTTGGAAAGCCTGAATTGTTGTAATTCCTGGTGCCCTTGTTAGACCTAGATGTCTCTGTCCCCCCACCCCACCCCCCATCTCCTCAAATCCAGTCCCTTTCATGATTCAAGATCTTCAATAATGGGACCTGATCAGAGGGAGTCCTCTATGTTCTCCCAGAAAAAGTCTAGAGCCAATGTGTACCTCCAATGGGAAGTTCATTTATGACCAAAGTCAACACCCTGTAATTTCACTTAGATTACTGGGAGATTCATCAAAATGATTGGAGGCTCCACTGATCAACCCCCATAATATGAATTCACCAAAAGTCTCTTTTCTCTTCTGTGGAGCCTCACCCCCCAGCTCCTGGGGAGGTCTATTATCTCTCTGAAAATGTTCTTCCTTTTACGATTCTTTATTCTTTTTCTCCCCAAACTCTATTCCCCCTCTCCTCTTTTCTTTCAGACAAGGATACCTTGTTCTTCCCTCCCAACACCAGGCAGGCCTCTCTGCCTTTCAGAAAAAAACACACAACATTCCCTAACCGTCTCTCCAGCGGGGCCAGCAAGACATCAATTCACAGCTTTGACTATCCATTCCTTTGACCTCCAGGAGGGAGGAAGGTTGGGATTCATCCATTTCTGAGAGCTCAGTGGTTCCCAACATCACACAATATTATATTAGGATCAAAAGACCCAAGCTTTAGAGCTGGAAGGGGTCTCAGAGACTGAGGGCAACCCTCTCATTTTACATATGAGGAAACCGGCCCAAAGCTAGGAGGGGCCTTAGAACGCGGGATCTCAGAACTGGAAGGGACCTTTGAAGACAGAAATATTAGAACTAGAAGGTCCCTTAAAATATATATATATATACATATATATGACAGTCTCCAAAAGTCTCATGATAGAAAATGCTATCCACATCCAGAGAAAGAATTATGGAGTCTGGATGCAGATTGAAGCATACTATTTGCTCTCTCTCTCTCTCTCTCTCTCTCTCTCTTTTTTCTTCCGTTTTGTTTTGTTTCTTCTTTCTTGTGGTTACTCCTATTGGTTCTAATTCTTCTTTACAACATGACTAGTGTGAAAATACGTTTAAAAGGAATGTATATGTAGAGCCTATAATATCAGATTGTGCACCATCTTGGGGAGGGAGGCAGGGAGAGAGGGGGAGAAAATTTAAAACTCAAAAGCTTGTGGAAGTGAATGATGAAAACTAAAAAATAATTAATTAAAAAAAATATAGATGTCAGAGCTGTGTTAAACCTCAGGATATAGAGTGTTAGAGCTGAAAGAGACCTGAGATTATCAGTCCTCACATTTTACAGATAAGAAACCAAAATCTTGAGAGGTAAAGTGATTTGTTCAAGGTCACACTGAGGATTAGTAGCAGTTAGTTGTACAGCTGGGACAAGGTTCCATGTTACTGAGTCCAAATCAGCACTCTTCTGCAGACTCCAGACTAGTTTCTCTCTCTCTCCCCCTCTTTCCCTTCTATTCTCTCTCTCTCTCTCTTCCTCCCCCTCTCTTCTATTTTCTCTCTCTCTCCCCTCTTTCTCTTGTATTCTCTCTCTCTTCCTCCACCTCTTCCCCCCTTCCTCTTTCTCTCTCTTCCATCCTCTCTCTCTCTGTCTCTCTCTCACCACACAAGGGGAACTACATTTAAATTATAGCAATAGCATTTGGTTAAACAAGAGGAAGAAATTAAAAAGGGTAATTAATGGGCAGCAATAATAGAGTCCGAGGGGGCAGTATAGAATATGTTCCCAGAGATGATTAAGAATCATACTGGCATCCATCAGTCTTCCAAGGTTTTGATGTCCATCTGTGTGAGGCAGAGCACTCAGCCTCAATGACCTTTGAAGTCCCTTCTTGCTCCTATGTTATAATAATGTGGTTAAGACAGTACTCAGGATACTGGGATACATATACATAATATTATTTCATGCTAAAACTCATTATATACATATACACACATATACATATACTTACATATGCACGTGTGTGTGTGTGTGTGTGTGTGTGTGTGTGTGTGTAATACATTTAAGGCACTGGTCAAACTTCTTAGAATATTGTGTCTAGGTATAAGGCCCCAGCCTTATAAAACTGAGTTAAGAGAAAACTTGGAGCAGGTCAAGGGGATAGGAAAAAATATTTTTAATGGCTTGGAAAGTTGTACTAGGAAGATGAGCTCAATAATTCCCATTGAGCTCACAGAATAGGATTGAGGATTTAAAACTAGACAGGACTTTAGAGGTCATTGAGTCCAAGACCCTCATGTTATGCAGAGGGAAACTGAGAAGAATCATTAGACGTCTGAGCTAGAAAAGACTTCAGAACATAGAACATTAGGACTGGGAGGGAGCTCAGAACAGAGAAATGTTAGAGCTAGGAAGTCCTGGGAGGACCCTCAGGGAACATCTAGTCTAAAACCCCTTTGCTGTATGTACTCTAGAAACAGCTCTGAGTGCCTGGGCACAAGTTTGAATGCCCTGTGACCTTTGGTAGAATGACCTTTCCCTCAAATTGCTTTTCATAAGCCCTTAGATTCTTAGATATGGTGGTAAACAAGGCAAGTCTCTTCTCCACCTTGCTCCATCCGCAATGAAAACAATGACGCTTTGTCCTGAAGAAATGATTCAGGGAAAGACCTTGCCAGGCTAAAGCATATCTCAGGGTTCCCCTCTGCCTAGCTGGGGTCTCTTGCCGGAAGATCTAGTAAACTGTGTCAGCTCCTACCTTTCCCAAAGGCCCTGCTGCTTTTTTAGGGATGGAGATTGGGTTTGGCCTGCTTTGTCAGTACCTTAAACAACCTAAGGCCGCTGTAGTGAAATGATCTGTCCTTGTTACTGTGGTATGGCACAGTATGGGTGTTTTATGCAAGATATACAGAACATGGAACTTCAGAGCGGGGGGGGGGCCTTAGAACACACAATGTCAGAGCTGGGGGGGCCCTTAGAACACAGAATGTTAGGACTGGGAGGGCCCTTAGAACACACAATGTCAGAGCTAGGAGAGACTCAGAACAGAGAATGTCAGAGTTGGGAGGGCCCTTAGAACGGAGAATGCCATAAAATGCCAGACCTGGAAGGAACATTCTCACACAGAATGTCAGCGCTAGAAGCGTCCTTAGAGCAGAGAACGTGACAGGGCCATAGAAAAACGTAGGTGCCCGACAGGACTTCAAAGAACCTCTTGTTAACCTCCTCATTTTCCAGATGAGGAAACCAAAGAAAGCCTGGGCTCATCTTCTGTCTAGCCACGTGGCTGAGCAGTCATTCAGAGGACGAGCCCTGGCCAGAGCCATGCATGCTTTGGTCCCTGCCCAATGCATCCTTGCTGCCAGGCTTCTCAATTCCCTCTCTGGGGCCCTCTAGGCACCAAATCTGTTTGCCTCTGTACTGACAATGGGAACTGGTGCCCAGCTGAAGTTGCCCACTTTCCCCAGCAACAGCTACGCTGAATGGCAGTGGAATGCGAGAGGGAGGCAGAGGGACCCCAGCTCAGGAAAGACTGTCAATCTCTGCTTTGGGCGAATTGCTTTCTCAGTGGCTTTTTTTTTCTTTCTTCCTGGCAACATTCCCTGGCCACTGTTCTGAGAGCTAGCAAAAGCCTCTAATCGGAGCTTTGGGCATTGAGGAAGCTCATGGAATTTCTATGCAGGAATTAGCCTCCAATGAGTTCCCCTCCCTTCCCCCCAACAGGTTGATGTGAAAGCTGATGGCCAACTCCATGCACTGCCCCCCTTTCCAGTCCACTTGGCCCTATGCTGTCCCCTACACTTGAATTTATTGTCCCCCTGTTGTATTGCTGCTCAACCCTCTTCAAGTTCAGACCCTGGATTATCCCCACCATTCACCTTCTCTTCTTCTAGTCATGTGCTTCTGAACTTACACAGCTGTGCTGTTGGGGTCCACTTCCAATTTACTTAATCTCAACATCGACACATCAGTCCTTTTCCTCTTTCTTAATTAATTCCCTATCATTATTCCCATGGAATCTGTCCTAAAACATTTTTATCCCTTTTCAAGGTACCCTCTTGGTGGAAGACCTTGATTCATAATTCACTAAAAAAAAAAAAAAATGGAGGCCGTTTGTTGAGAGAGCCCCCATCTTCCCTCCTCCTCTTCTCATCACTCAGACGTCTCTTCCTTCACATATCTTACATGGAGAGATGACCTTTCTTTCTGGCAAGGCAAACTATTCTTCATTCACCTTGATCCCATTCCCACCTATCTGTTCCAGGAGTTTGCACCACTCCCTCCCTAACTTTTAGTCTTTCCCTCTCTATTGGCTCCTTCCCTGCTGCCTATAAATTCCCCTATATCTCCCCAACCCTTAAAAAAAGAACCCCTCACCTGATTCATCCATCCCTGCCATATCTTAACCTATAAGTCTCCTTCCCTTCTTGGATGCACTCCTTGAGAAAGCCCCCTTCGCCAGTGTCTGAACTTCCTCTATCTCCTAAATCTTCTGCAGTCTGGTTTCTGACCTCATCGATCAATTAAAACTGCTCTCTCCAAAGTTCCCAGTGATCACTTAATTCTCAAGTCTGATGCCTGTTTCTCACCCGTCATTCTTCAAGGCCTCTCTGCAGCCTTTGGCAATATTCTCGTGGATACGTATCTGTGCTCTCTAGGCTTTTGTGACACTGCCCTCTTTTGAGGCTGGCTGATACCTTCTTCATCTAGGTTCCTTAAGACCACAGGTTCCCCACCCCCAATTTAGGCCATGCCCAATATCACAGGTGTCCCCTACAGATCTGTCTTAGCCCTCTTTCTTCTTTCTCTCTATTTTTTCACTTGGTGATCTCATTAGCTGCCTTGGGTTGAATTTTCATCCCTATGCAGATGAGTCCCAGATCCCCAGCTTCTCTCCTGAGCCATAAACCTGTCCCATATCACCCACCTTTTGGACATCTCAAACTGTATGTCCTATAAGCTTCTCTTCACAAATTTGCACATCATCCTTGCACAGGGCCATGCTAATCTTGTCTGTATTGTTCCAATTTTAGTAGATATACTGCCATATCAAGCTCTCCCATAAGCTTCTCAAAATAAATATAGAACTCTTTCCCCACAAACCCTCTCTTATTCACAACTTTTCTATTACTATCCAAGGAAACACGGTCACCCAGACGTGCAATCTTGGTATCATCTTCTACTACTCACTCATACTCATGCAACATGTCCAATCTATTTTTAAGTTTTGGTGTTTCTACTTTGTCAACATCTCCTATATATGGCACCTTCTCTCTACGCACATAGTCATCACCTGGCACAAGCCCCCATTATCTCTCATCTGGACTACTGCAATAGCTTTCTGTTTTCCTGCCTCAAGTCTCTCCTTACTCCAATCCACCCTCTACTCAGCTGTCAAAATGATTTTTCTGAAAGACCGGTTAGACCGCGTCACCCTGCCCCATCACAGCCCCCCACTCAATACCCTTCATTGTCTCCCTACTAAAACCAGGATCAAATATAAACTCCTCCAGTATTTAAAACGCTTCACAATCTTGTCCCTTACTTACTCATCCATCTTCTTGTTTTTAAACTCAATTTGATTTTATTTTCACTTCCGAATTCTCTACTTCCCCTCTCCCCTCCTCTACCCACCAAGAAGGCAAGGATAAAACCATTACAAATATGTATAGTCAAACCCAAAATCTTATTAAAAATGAATGTTCAAATTTGTTTTTATATGTAATTGGAAAAAAATACTTTTTAAAAAACCAAATATGCACATTTGTGCAAAACAAATTCTGGCATTAGCCACGTCCAGAAAAAAGAAAGATAAAGAAAGAGAAGAAAAAACAGTTGAAAGCAGGGACCAAGTTTTTGCTTTTCTTTGTATCCTCAGCACTTAGCGCAATGCCTGACACATAGTAAGTGATTATTAAATGCTTGTTGACTTGACTTGATTAACTACCCCACACTTATCCCTCTCTCCCAGGAGGGGCCCTTGTCCCATACTTGACTAAGGAAATTGAGGCCGTCCACCATGGATTCCTTCTTTACTCAGTTTTATACCTCAAATCCTATTAATGCCCTGCCCAGCTTTCCTCCTTTGCTCTGGTTTCAGAGGAAGAGAAGGCCTTCTTATGAAGAAGTGTCTCTCTCTACTTGTGTCCTCGATTCCATCCATCCCTTCTCAGTTTAAAAAACCTTCATTTGGTCCTAATCTTCCCTTAAGCCATCATCCTAAATCTCTTCTCCCTTTCACAGTTAAACTCCTAGAACACCCAAAGCTTCTTCTTTTTCACCCTCTACTCATTTCTTAAGTCCTTACATTCCATCTTCATGTACCTGAAACTGTTCTCTCCAAAGTTAACACTTTCTCCTAATTGCTAAAAGTAATGATCACATCTCATTACTCAGGCTTTTTGACCTCTCTGCTGGGTTTACATCACTGAAAATCCCCTCCTTCTCCATAGTCTTTCCACTCTGAATTTTTGTGATACTGCTTTCTCCCGAATTTCTTCCTTCACTCTGTTTTAGTCTCCTTTGTAGTGTTATAATCTCTGTTCTATCCCCTATGCATGGAGGATGACCCTTTGGCTCAGTCTCTCCTCTTTTGGTGATCTCATCAGCCTCATGGGTTCAATGATCATCAATGAAGGCCCTTTACTACTCTTGTTATTCTTTAGCTTACTGATGTCTTTCCAGAAATATGGCTCCCAGGACTGAACATGATATGGTCTCACTAGGACAGGATATAATGGCCTACCACCTTCTACTTTAGAGTACTAAACCTCTTCTGATGCAGCAGAGAACCAGCTTTCTTGGATGCTATTTCACACCATTGATTCATATTGAGTTGGAACCTCCAATCAATTAATCATTCATTCAATAAATATTCTTTTTTCAGATGTTTTGCTTTCTAGTCATTCCCATCCCCCCCATCTGATGCTTGGGGAGTTGTTTCTTGGACCCATGAAAATGTAATGGAGAACAGACACATGCACAGAGTGCTTCCGTGTGCTTGGCTGATGAAAATTCCCCATATGGGAGAGCCTGGAGAGCCTGCTTCTGGGGTGGCTGTGATGATGTGCAATGGAGTGGTTTGCAGAGATGTGAGAGCATGTGTAGACATTCCGTCACTGGTTCTGGTCAGCTGACCACATGGTGAATAGGACCGGCCATGGAGGCATTCAAAAATCAAAAGCAACTAGAGACTGCCATGTTCTCTCAGCTGTTCACTCTTGGTTTGATTCCTTCCCTGATGGCGCCCAGGGAGAGGCAATGTTGTAAAGGGAAAGGCCTTGGGTCTTCTCCCTGCTGAGATGGCTTATGTAGCCCCATGAAAACAGGCTTTGTTCTTTTTCCTTTAGGTGGAGCGATGGTAGACTTTGTGAGTTTCAAAAGGTCAGGAGACTGAGACTCAGTGTCTAGGTATCCTAGCTGTATCAGTGACCTAGTATATCACCTCCGAATGACTGCCCCAAGGAACAAGGAATGACCTTTGGGACCTGGCCTAGAGGCTGAAGTGAGGACTCATTTGATTGTGAACTTGGTGACAACAATGTTATGTAGAAGCTATGTTAAGAGGGAACCTACTTGCCCCAGAGACCAAGGTGGTATAGAAGAGAGTAGGACTACGAGAGGTTGGGAGGAAATGTTTATGCCCTTGTTATATTTTCAAAGTAAATATCCTTTTGTAAAAGCTAATGATGTTAAGTGGTTAAATGGAACTGGGACATTAGTTACTGGCACCAACTGATGGGGGCTCAAGCCAAGGGCATTAGATGAGAGATGCTCTCAAAACCCCTCAGGGTACCCCTAGAATCCTGAGGGAGAGATGTAGCAGGCCACTACATAAGCCTTTGAATTATCCCTATTAAATTTCACTGTATAAGATTTGGCCCAATGTTCTAGGCTGCATAGGTCCTTTCAGATCCTGACTCTGTCACTGAGCATATTACCTATTCCTCCCAGTTTTTTGTTACCTGAACATTTGATAAGCTTGGCCTCTACCCCTCTATCCAATTCACTGACTAAAAAAAACAAAACAAAAAACAAAAACAAAATTAAAAGCCCAGATCTCTGGGGAAATCCACTGGAGACCTCCTTCCAAGCTGACAGCAAACCATTAATGACCACTTTTTGGGTCTAGGCATTCAAACGTTTTCCAATTTGCCTAATTGTACTATCGTCTAGACCACAGTTTTCCCTCTTTTCCACAAGAACGGCAGGAGAGGCTTTTATCTAATGCTTTGCTAAAATCTAGGTAAATGCTATCTCTATCATTCCCCATAGGAATGCCCCGATATATCAGGCTACTATCTCCTTTCTTTCTCCTAATCACCTCAGCCTATCTCGGTGTCACTGAAAGAAATTAGTTTAGCTGACTACAATCGGTTCTTTACTCTGTCACAGTGCCAAGGTCTAATACCTCTCTACCTTGAGTGAGATCAGTCTCATCAGGAGAGGGGAGGTGAGATGAAGAGAAATGTTGATAGGGGAGATGAGAATGTTTGGGAGGAAGAGGCGTGGAAGGAAGATGACTCATAATAATTGAGGCGTAAACTTATATATCACTTTAAGGTTTGCAAAGCACTTTACTCTGCACCCCTTGCCCCCGAAAGGTAGATTATTTCCATTTTAGAGATGAGAACATTGAGGCTGGATGAGTTTAAGTATCTTGCTGGGGGTCACATAGTAAGTGCTAAAGCAGGATTCTAGCTCTGATCTTCTTGACTTCAAGCTGTTCTGACATCATAGCTGACTCATGGGAGAGGACGATACTAACCTTGAAATCCGATCTGCATGTGAGCTCAGATTTGCAAGTAACTGAGTGTACTACCTTAGGTAAATCATTGACCTTCAATTAAGCCTCAATTTCCTCATCCCTAAAATAGGAATAATGATATACCACTTGACAAGGAAGATTGCTACGAGCATCCAATGTAATAATATGTAAAGTGCTGGCTGGTCCAGTGGAAAGGGTCTTGGATAGGGAGTCAGAGGTTTATTCAGCCATTTTTCAGTCATGTCCAACTCTTCATGACCCCACTTTAGAATTTTCTTGGCAAAGATACTGGAGTGGTTTACCATTTCCTTATCAGCTCATTTTACAGATGAGGAAACTGAGGCAAACAGGGTTAAGTGACTTGTCCAGGGTCACACAGCTAGTAAGCATCTGAGGCCAGATTTGAACTAAGGTCTTCCTGATTCCAGGCCTGGCACTCTATGCACTATGGCACCATAGGAAGCCAGATGGCAAGGTGGGCATCCCCAATCTTTACCTCTTCAACATGTGGCAGTGTTTCTGACATCCACCCTCCTAAATGAGGGTTTGCTCTGCACTTCCCACCTCCCAGGGTGAGGAGGGTTTGTGGCACTTCAATCAACAACCAATCAGTTAATAAGCATTTCCTAAGGACCTACTATGTGTCAGGTACTGGACAAAGATAAAAATGAAATGGTATTTGCCCTCCAAGAGCTTATGATCTATTAGAGGGATACATGTACACATATAAGTTGATATATAGTGTCAATACAAGATAATTTGGGTGGGAGGCGCCCACAGTTGGGGGAACCAGGAAAGACCTTACATAGGAAATGGTGCTTAAGCTAAGCTTTAAGAGAGGGTAACGATGCTAAGAGACCCAGGTGCAAACATTCCTGCTTATGGCTCTAGCTGTTGCTGCTCTGGTTTCCTTTCTGTTAGCAACAGCCAACTCACTCCATTTCCCGTTTGCAAGTCTGCTGGTCACTCCACAGCCTAACTCCTAATTCAGTGGCCAGGGAAATCTACACACATCAGCCTCAAGCCCTGGTGCCCTGCACAACATTATAGGGAAAGGAGGAAAGGTGGCCAGAAAAGGTGACTGGAAGGGGTCTTGTTTTCCTCACCTGTTTACATAAATCAGTTGCATTAGACAGTCATTTCATGCTCTAGCTAACATTTTAGGCTCTTACATAATGTTTTCTAAGGTTCCTTTCCAGGTCTGGTGTTCTGTGTTTCAAGTATTGTTCCTAGCTCTGACATTCTGTGTTCTAAGGTCCCTCCCAGCTCTGACATTCTGTGTTCCA